ACTTCACATACTCCTCGCCTCAGGCCACTCCTCTGTCTACTCGCCACTCGCTCTCAGCTCTGCCTTCGGATGAGTCCGTAGAGCCAAGTGGCCCGTACCCAGAGCTTGTGGGCTGCCTCATGTACTTGATGACCTGCACACGACCTGACCTTGCATACCCTCTTAGCATCTTGGCACGCTATGTTGCTCCTGGGAGATACCGACCAGAGCACATGGGTGCAGCGAAGAGGGTGTTGCGCTACTTGTGCAGTACGTCAGGCATGGGGCTAGTGCTTTGAGGGCGACGTCGAGTTGTCCTCTTAGGTCACGCAGACGCTTCTTGGGCTGACGACCAGGCTACACAGCGGTCGTCACAGGGTTACACCTTCAGCCTTGGCTCCGGTACTGTTTCGTGGCGGTCTACCCACTCGTCTTCTGTTCTCAGCTCCAGCTGTGAGGCTGAGATCTACGCGGGGGCCATGGCTGCACAGGAGCTACACTGGCTCACCTACCTGCTGACTGACCTAGGAGAGCCGCCTCGTTCTCCTCCAGTTTTGTACGTAGACAACAAGGCCATGCTGGCCTTGTGTCGGGAGCACAGAATGGAGCACAGAACGAAGCACATTGCTCTTCGCTACTTCCTTGCTCGTGAGCTGCAGCAGCGTGGTTAGCTGCGCCTTGCTTACGTGGCCTCTGAGGCCAACACTGCTGATATCTTTACCAAGGCACTTCCACCTGGTGATCATCAGCGCTTCTCTACGATGCTTGGTCTTGTGCCTACTTGGCCTGACTTGCTCACTTCTTGACCTTGCTTGTACTGTGATATTTCTATACCTGCTTGCTCATTGTGTTGATTACACCCCACTTTGGCTATGGGGGTGTGTCAGAATATTATAATTGTCTAGCCTGCAGTGGGGTGCTCTATAGCGAGTACAACCCAATTAGGGTTTCTTATATGTATGCCAAGTGCTACTAGTGCAACCCCTCTCTTCTTCATTCCTCATTTTTTCATAGTAAGCTACTGTAGGGGTGGGGACGGCGTTGGATATGTAACGCTCGGAGCCCACCATATGCTGGCCGCAGCAGCTGTCCAGGTACGAGGTGTTGTAGCGCTTGTTGTCGACACGTGCATGCGGAGATTAAACTCTACAACGGTAGTGAGCTAGACTACAGGGGTTGGCTCGAACTACTAGAGGTGATCTTAGCTTTGCTTGGCTCCTTAGTGTTTGCACATTCAAGGAAGAATTTTGGCAAGAGTTTTCACTCTCAAAGTTCGAATTCCAGAATCATTCAACAAGAGATGGCAACAATGACTACAGCAGGCACCTAGCAACCCTGCTGCTAGCCTGGTCGACCAACAGCACAGCTCGGTCGACCGCCTGCCAGCGTTGCGTGGAGGAGCCGCGCCAGTACTGCAGAAAGGCGACCTGCCAACGGAGCAGGTCGACGGCGTGCCAACGCTGCAGCAGAGTGGCTGTCCAGCGTTGCCCCGGAGAACGCAGCAGTGTGCACGCTCGCAGGTGTGCGTAGACGATTGGCCTGACTTGCCTCGCTGGGCATCCGTCGGCTGTTGTCTGCGCCTGACGAGCCACATCGACTTCGGGATACCAGCCCGAAGTGGCCTGCGCCATCGCGATCTCGACGACGTTCGCGTGCCTCCGCAGAACTCGTCGAGCAGGTTACCCGGTCGACCTGGTCAACCCCTGGTGCTCTGGTCGACTCCCAGGTGCCTCCCGTCGACCACTGGGTCCATCTGGTCGACCACCGGGCGCTCCTGGTCGACCACACCTCCCGTCAAGCTACCCCTTGGTCGACGGACCCCTTCCGTCGACCAGAACTGCTCCGTCGACCTCCTGGTCGAACTGCAGTTCGACGGGATGCTCCGTAGACCTCCCCGTTGAACTGTAGGTTGACAGACTGCTTCGTAGACCTCCCGGACGACTCACCCGTTGCCCAGGCCAGTCAGTTGCAGCTATCGAGCATCCTGGTCGACAGCAACACCACAGCGGTCCGCTGCAGCTCGTCGTAACCTGTCGAGCAGCTATCCCACTGTGAGCGGTCGGCTGCTACTCTCGTACATCCGACCAAGTTGTCGGCGTTGCCCAAGCGAGGGCGGGGCCAACACTCCATTCCCGTTAAAAGTGCGAGCAGCGCCAATCGCGGTGTGACGATGTGCGGAGTGTCGAACTTCAGAAATTGCTCGCGCGAGAGCCACCCGCATGTCTGGTATGTGCCGGGGACTTTCAAGCAGCGGGACTGGGAGGTTCCAGTCCTGGTCGTCGTCGTCGTTGTAGTCGCGGCGCGGGTTGAAAGGGTTGTTGTTGGTGAACGCGACGATGGGGTGCGTTGCTGGCTCAGGTGTGGGTGAGCGAGCACGGCAAAGACGTGACTCGCCTGTCATGGCCATGTTGCTCATGACGTTCCGAGTAGGGGCAGTCGATGGCTGCTGCTGCTGATGCTGAACGGTCGAGTTCAGACTGCGCGCTGGTGGGGTTTGATACCCTTGGGCTGGACGCACGTCGCCTCGTGCGTCTTGTCGGCCGGACCAGTTGCTCGAATTGGTCTAGCGAGGGCGAGATCGAAACTTACATCGATCCGCCAAATGCCTGAAGTTTCTGCACATTTTGCAGTAGAGGCGCCGCGGTCGTCGCTCTTCGTTGTTGTCGGCGTAGAAGGCGAGCCGTTCGCATTCTCGTCGTGGTGCTGGTCGCTGCTAATCCATATCCCGTTGTTCGACGAGAAGGGCGGCGCAAAGGGCGGCCTCCGAGATGACCCCCTGTTGTCGGAGGAGCACCTTGCATGACCGCCACTCTGGGCCAAGCCCTTAAAGCACAATGTTTACGAATTCTTCCTCGGAAATCGAGCTTCCCAACTTTACGATTTGATCGCGAAGGCTCCGACAGCGGTTGATGTAGCTGTTGACCTTCTCCTCTGAGGTAATCTTGGTTTCCTGCAGTTGTTGGAGTAGTCGGCTCGAGGAGACGGAGTCCTTGGGCTCATACACGCCGTTCAGGTGGCGCCAAGCGTTGAGGGCTGGGGCTGTCGATGTTTTGTATGAACGAATGTTCAGTTGCTCCGCCGGCGACATGTTACGCAGAAGGATACCGTACGCCATCAGAGACTCGTTATAATAGCGAGTCCTTGCGTCGTTGGTGTCCTCAGCAGGTCCCGAGTAGCTTCCGTCGAAGTAATGATAAATCTGCGCGTTTTGCAGCAGCAGCTCCAGCTCGAAGCTCCAGCTTCAGTCTCTGCCGTCAAAGCACACACTTTTGTCAGAACATTATAGCTTATACATTTGTGTAGGCTGTAGTGGGGTAGCCCATAAGGGGTACAACCCAATTAGGGTTAGTACTTGTACCCAACTGTTTCATAGTTCATCCATCCATTCTCACTTCTTGTCATGGTATCGAGCAGGTTCCCGAGTGGGAATACTGCCTAGGGCCCACCACGAACTTTTTTTTTTTTTTTCCTTCACTGCCCGAAGCGTGCTTCGCTCCTAACCCAAGTAGCGCCTCAAGCCGCCCTTACGGCCCCTTCGCGCCGCCTTCTACGGCCCCTCACGCCGCTCTTACGGCCCCTTACGGCCCCGTCTTGCCCCTTGCGGACCCGCTTAGGCCCCTTACGGCCCCGTCGCGACCTCGCCTAGGCCCCTTACGGCCCCGTCGCGGCCCCGTCTCGGCCCCGTCTAGGTCCCTCGGCGGCCCCGTCGTGCCCCCTAAGGCCTCGCCTAGGCCCCTTACGGCCCCTCCGCGGCCCCGCTTAGGCCCCATCTGGCCCCTTACGGCCCCCCTACGGCCTCGCCTCGGCCCCTTCGCGGCCCCGCCTAGGCCCCTTCGCGGCCCCGTCTGGCCCCTTACGTTCCCCTTTATGGCCCCACCTAGGCCCCTCCGTGGCCCCCTCTGGCCCCCCCTTTACGGCCCCGTCTGGCCCCTTACGGCCCCCCTTTGCGGCCCCGCCTAGGTCCCCCTTCGCGGCCCCGTCTGGCCCCTTACGGCCCCTTTGCGGCCCCGCCTAGGCCCCTCCGCGGCCCTTTCTGGCCCCTTACGGCCCCTCTGCGGCCCTGCCCAGGCCCCTCAACGGCCCCGCCTGGCCCCTTTACGGCCCCGCTACGGCCCCTTTGCGGCCCCGACGCCACCTGCGGCCCCGTTGCCCACTGCGGCCCCATCGACACCTGCGGCCCCACCGCCACCTACGGCCCCGTCGCCACCTGCGGCCCCGCCGCCACCTACGGCCCCGTCGCCAGCTGCGGCCCCGCCGCCACCTCAGCCCCGTCACCGCCTGCGGCCCCGCCGCCACCTACGGCCCCGCCGCCCAGCGCCCGCAGCGCCGAGCAGCCGAACCCCCGGCCAGCTGAGCCGCCCGACCGCCCGACAGCCGAGCCGCCCAGCAGCCGAGCCGCCCGACAGCCAAGCCGCCCAGCACCGTGCAGCCGAGCCACCCGACCGCCGAGCCGCCGAGCAGCCCGATCGCCCCACTTGCCTGGTAAGAGCATAGTCTCTGCCACTGCACTGCCCTGCCCTACTGTACTCACTGCCTGCCTACTGCTGTTATGGCCTCCCCTAGCGTTCTCACCTTTGACGCTGAGGGTCGGGCAGTGGACTTTGAGGTCTGGGTAGATGATCTGCAGGTTTTCCTGTAGTGCGATAGGGCAGACGGCCTCTCCCTGTTTGACCTCACTTCTGGTGCCTCCCCTGCCCCTGCTACTGATGCTGACGCCACTGTTCGCTCACAGTGGGCCACGCGTGATGCTGCTGCTCGCCTTGCTGTGCGCCGCCACTTACCGACCACTGAGCGTGCACACTTTAGCCAGTACAAGAGTGCTCAGACCTTGTACGACGCTGTAGTTGCACGCTACTCTTCCCCTGCCACTACTGCACTGAGCCTCCTTATGCTACCGTACCTCTTCCCTGACCTTGCTGCCTTTCCCACAGTCGCTGACCTCATTACGCACCTCCGCACTAGTGACACTCGCTACCGCGCTGCGCTTCTTGCTGAGTTCTGCGCCAAGAACCCCCCCCCACATGTACATCACCCTCTACTACATAGTCACCCGCCTCCCTGACTCTCTTCGGGTAGTCACGGACCACTTCGTCTCTGATTGCCCCACCACTCTTACCGTTGGCCTCCTCGAGAAGGCCCTCCTAGCGATAGAGAAGAGCATAGTCGTTGTAGGAGCCTCTGGTAGTAACCCTCGCACCCCTGTCTTTGAGGGGTGTTCTCCCTCCCCCCTCTTGCCCTCTGTTGCCTCTGCTGCTGCGGCCAACCTCGTTGGTTTAGAGTCGGTCGGCACTGCGTCTGCCCCAAGCGGGAGACGCCGCACCGGCAAGGGCAAGGGGGGCAAGGGCACTGGAGGGGCTGGAGGGGGCGGTGGAGGTGGTGGTGGAGGCGGTGGAGGGAGTGGGGGTGGTGGTGGGAGTGGTGCCGGGGGTGGCGGCGACGACGGCAGCAGTGGAGGCAGCGGAGGCAGTGGAGGTGGCGGAGGGAGCGGAGGCGGCGGAGGTGGTGGAGGAGGCGGAGGTGGAGGAGGCGGCGGAGGCGGCGGAGGCGGCGGCGGCGGCGGAGGTGGCGGCGGCGGCGGAGGCGGCGGTGGTGGAGCGAGTCGGGACTCTGCGCAGAGGAGTGGCGCCGGTGGTGGTCAGCGCCAGCAGCAGCAGCGGAGTGGTGTGACCCTGTCCCCTCAGCAGCTTCGTGAGTGGTACACTGCGCGCCAGCGCAGTGGGGGTTTTGGTCCCTGCTCTTACGTCCTCCGTACCGGCGACCGCACTGGTGAGCAGTGCGGAGGCCCGCACTCCACCCAGCGCTGCTTTGGTTGCCTGACGGACGCGTGGTGTCGCCAGTTCCCTAATGCGTCAGAGATCCCTCGCTGGGGAGATCTGGCTAAGGCCGGGGTTGCTATCTTTGATCTTGATTTTGATGCTATCCTTGCTGCCATGTATGCTGTTGATACTAGTGTTGCTGGTGACTGTTACCTGTGTGTATCGCCTGACCCGGGCATTGAGGCTGCTGCTCTAGGTGCTGGTGGGGCTGCTGCTCTAGGTGCCCGTGCGTCTGCCGCCCCAGGTACTGGTGATTCTGCTCTCTCAGGTACTATGTCGTCACAGGCCTTCCACACCTTCACCCTGGACTCGGGTGCGTCCCGCTCCTTCTTTCGAGACCGCACCACTCTTACGCCACTTAGTCGGCCGGTTGCAGTCTCCCTGGCAGACCCCTCTGGGGGTCCTGTCCTTGCTAGCTTCTCCACTGTCCTTCCGTGCCCGGCAGCCCCCTCTGGCACCCTGTCTGGTCTCTACCTCCCCTCGTTCTCTACGAACTTGGTGAGTGGAGCATGTTGTGTGATGCAATCATATGCGTTCACGTCTGTCTGCCTCCCATCATATGTTGGTGCGTTGCATGCGTGATGTGAGCGTGTGCAAGAATTTGTGTTTTGTGCGGTTTTGGTTTTTCTGAGTGTGTGTGTGAATGTTATTTGGCTTGAGCAGATATCTGAAGTGACTCCTCTGCTCAAGAACTTTCCGACGAACCAAGTATCGCTTCAATCGGAGCACGAACAAGAAAGTTACGAACGTTTGAAGTTCGTATGCTTTTGATATTTGGTTGTGGTGACTGTAGGGAGTTGTGGTGCTGACTCAATATGGGGTACAGACTTTTGGGGGTTGGGAAATTCGTCAACATCACTGTAGATGCTGCCAAGTGGTTGGGAGGAGCCAAACCAGGTTGGCAAGTGTGGCCAACTTGGGCAAGGTGGATGGCATGGGTTGGAAAGTGACAAAGGTGAAAGTGGGGTTGCCTATGGAGAAGGGAATTGTGTGGCATGGGGTTTCCTTGGTTGGGGACTCTCTTGGAACCTTCCCTCTCGTCCTCCTCATCCCATCCCACCTGGTTTATTGCCACTCTAACTCTCTTGTGTAGCAATTGTGAACTTGTGTGAGACTCTTGTGATTGAGTTAAGATTCTATGGCAGCATACCCCCTAGTGCGCCGAAATTCATAACTCAAGAAACACTTCACCTTATTGTACGACTCAAATTGGGAATTGTAGCCACAGACTAGAGCTACAACATATCTAAGTTTGGTGAAGTTCTAACAGTGCACCTTTCGTCGACGGCGTTTCTGTCCAGAATTCTAAGCCAACGATTTTAGGCACCTAATCTTCGTAGACTCCATCCTTAGTCTCTAACAAGTGGTATCAGAGCTGATTAAGGACCTTGTGGGGAGTCTACTGAAGTGTGAAGACCCTCCTAGACCCACCATGGCCTGTGGGCGTGCCTAAGTGGAGTTCTGGAGGTTGGATGTGACTTCCGCTAAGGGGAAACTCTGCCGAAATTTCGTTGGCGCCGACACTTGTGAAGATTGTGTGGATCTACATTGTGACCAGCAAAGGGGGGAATTGAAACCTCTGTTTGGGAGCAGAGGAGATGAATCAAGGGAGTGGAGATGCAGCTGAGAAGAGGAGTGAGCCGCCACCATCCAAGATTGAAGCTTTGGATGGCTCCAACTATGAGGAATGGAGCGGGCGGATGCGGAGCGCCTTCAAGCGCTACAAGCTGCTGAAAATTGCAATGGGAGAGGAGAAGATGCCGGGGAAAGGAGATGCCCGCGATCGGTGGATTGAGAAGAGCGTGGTGCTGTACGACCTCATCCTCCAATCGGTCAACAACGACATGTTCCAGCACATCAAGGATTTGGTGGAGTTGGATGATTCCGGACCGAAGGCATGGAAGCTGCTACGCGACGTGATTCAGCCCAACACGCTGCCGATGGTGATTGTGTTGGAGAAGGAGTTGGCTGCCCTCTCCATGAAACCGAAAGATGATGTGAAATCGGTCCTTGACAAGATCAAGGACACCTATGCGAGGATGGCAGCGGCGGGCAGCGGGGTGTCGCAGATGCAACAGTGCACCAAGATCATCTCGGTGCTTGACAGCTCGTGGGACAACCTCATCCCCACCCTCAACGTTCAGCAGGACAAATGGACGCCTGAGTGGCTACGGCAGCAGATCCTGCAGGAGGACTTCCGCATGCGCCACACGGGAGGTGGTGCTGCCAACAAAACTGCTGAGGGGTATGGAGCTGCAGGAGGCAGCAGAGGAAGAGGGGGAGGGAGAGGCCGAGGCCGTGGGAGAGGCTTTGGCAGAGGGAGAGGCCGAGGTGACTACAATGAGGGGCATGGGAGCTCTGGTGGCAGGGGGAGCACCCGAATGGAGGGTGCGTGCTGGTACTGCAAGAAGGCTGGACACCCGTGGTTCAAGTGTTTCAGCCGGCCTGAGGGATGGGCGCCCCCAGGCATGAAGCCGCCAAGTGCTGAACGTGCACGAGGTGGCGCTGTGCAAGGTTCACGTGCACAAGGTGATGGTGCACAAGGTAAAGCCGACCCTGGGATGTTCCTCATGGTTGAGGATGTGCAAGGGAGTGGGGGTGATGTGGGTTCAGTTGGGAAGGTTGTGATGCACCCCCTCACTCACTGGGTGATCGATTCAGGTTGCACGAGTCATATGACCCCACGGGCAGACTTGCTTGATGAGGTAAAACCTCCTGGGAAGATCAAGTTTGTGGCTGCCGCTTCAGGTGCTTTGCTCCCTGTGATTGGTGTTGGGAATGCCAAGGTGATGGGAGCCAATGGGGGGCTTGTGGGCCTTGGGAATGTGCTGTTGGTTGAAGGTTTGTCCGCTAACCTTCTTTCTGTGCGCCGGCTGCAGAAGAGCAAGGCTGAAGTTACCTTCGGCCCAACCAGCTGCCGTGCAAAGCTTGGAAAGTTGCTGCTGTGGGACTTGGAGGAGAAGAGCAGCTGCATCAAGGACCTGTGGCAGCTGCCCATCATCCCTTGGAAGGGGAAACCACCAGCAACGGCAAAGGCAGCGGCAGCGGCTAAAGCAACTGCGGGAGGAGAGGAGATTGCACCAACTGCAGGGGCCCTCGATGCAGTCAAGAAGGTGCAGCAGCCACAGCAGCCACATTGTGAGGTGCTTGCTGGTGTGGATGCGACAGCTGCATGGGCAAAGGCTTCATCTGGGAGTGGTGAGGCTAATTGGGAGACGTGGCATGAGAGGCTGTGCCATGTGAACATTCCTATGCTGCAGAAATTGGTAAAGGAAGGGTACTTGAAGGGGCTTGAGGTGAAGGGGGGAGCAAAGGAGATTGGGAGCTGCCCTACATGCCTTGAGGCCAAATTCACGAAGTTTCCCTTCAGCAGCAGCACAGGACCAGCCAAGGCACCACTTGCACTAGTGCACATGGATGTGGTGGGCCCCATGAGGGCCCTTTCTCTCTCGGGCAGCCGCTACTTCTTGACGATTGTGGACGACCACACGCGTGCGGTGTGGGTGTACCCTCTAAATACTAAGGGGTTTCAGCAGACAAAGGGGAAGGATTTTGACGAGATCTTTGCTCCTGTGGGGAAAGGCACAACATTGAAAGTGTCACTGGCAATGGCAGCAAACCGTGGATGGCGGGTGAAGCAGATGGACATCACCACCGCCTTCCTCAAGGGGATCATTCTGGAGGAGCTGTACATGTTACAGCTTGAGGGTTTGGATGATGGGAGCGGCAGGGTGTGCAGGCTGAAGAAGGCCATGTATGGCCTGAAGCCGGCTCCTCGTGCATGGTACCACAAGCTCGAGGAGACACTGCTGGCTGGGGGGTTCAAGAAGAGTGAGTGTGACCACAGCCTGTTCCTGCTACAAGAGAAGGAGCGGTTTCTCATGCTCCTGGTGTATGTGGATAACATCCTACTCTTCTCTGAGTCGTCTGCAATGATTGAGCGTGTGGAGGAGATGCTGGAGATGCAGTTCAAGTGTTCCAAGATGGGAGATGTGAAATACTATTTGGGGATGCATGTGGAGAGGGACCTTGACAAGGGAGTGTTGAGGTTGCACCAGAGGAAGTACTGTGAGGGGCTGGCCGAGAAGTATGGGCTGCAAAATGGAGGGAAGCCAGCTGTGAGGATCTAGGATCGAGCTCAGAAAAGAGAACGAGATTGAATATGATCACCTGGGTACAACACGAGGCTATATATAGGCTCGACACAAAGCCCCGTAACCAGGTGTTACGCGAAGGTTCCGCGGGTCGCGTAGCGTCCCGAACAGATCCTTACCGAATTCGGTAGAAGGCAATTCGGTGGCAACCGAAAAGGCCAGAATTCGGTGCACGCAACCTAGCTCGGTGCTATCACTATAATAAAATATAGGAAAGCACCTAGCCTAGGAAATCAAGCAATTCATGCATGCATATGATTATCCTATGCTAGAAATAGCATAATAAAGTAGAGGCAAGCAAGCATAGCTGGCATAAGCCGTCGTACTCTCACACGTCCCCCCCTCAAAGCTGGGTGGCGTGAGATACACCCTGCTTGACAAGATAGTCCTTGAGAGCACGGCGTGCGTTGCCCATATCAGCTTCTGCAACCCAACTATCCTCAGTGGGGTCGTATCCCTTCCAGCGTATCAGGAACTCGAGATTCTTGCCGCCGTGACGCCGATGAGAGAGAACGCGCTCGATCTCGTACTCGGGTTCATCCTGTATAAGAACAGGTGGAAGAGGCGGTAGCTGCCGTCCCTGGAACTATTTGTTGGGGTCCTTGTAGGGTTTCAGTAGCTGCACATGGAAAGCATTGTGAAGCTTCCAAGTAGTAGGAAAGCGCAAGCGGAATGTAAGTGGTGTCACCTGTGCCTCAACGAGAAAAGGACCACAGAAGCGAGGCCGGAGTTTGGATGGGAGGTGAGACAGGTTCAAGTTGCGCGTGTCAAGAAGCACCTGATCTCCGACTGCTACTGAGTGATCACGTCGCTGACGATCGGCATACTTTTTCTGGGAGGTCTGCATCGTGGTGAGTCGTCGCTGAGTCTTCTCTCATAGCTGCTGCATGGTGGTGACGAAGTCATGTGCGGCTTGGACGTGTGCCGGTGTGGTTGGCTGCTGTGGTGTGAGTGGTTCCCGTCCGTAACACAGGAAGAAAGGAGTTTTTCCTGTGGCCGCATGTGATGCGTTGTTGTAAGCGAACTCTAGAGTCGGTAACTGTGTGTCCCAGTGGCTGATGTCGTCCTTGCAAGATGTGCGCAGTAACTGTTCAACCACCTGATTGAGTCGCTCTGTCTGTCCGTTAGTCTGGGGGTGGTATGCTGAAGACATTGCAAGCTTTGTCCCCAACAGTCCCATGAGCTCCTTCCAGAACTTACTGGTGAATTTTGGGTCTCTGTCTGAGATGACTGTAGCGGGGATGCCGTGGATGGTGATGATGCGGTCGAAGAAGAGGCGAGCACTTGCTTCAGCTGTAGGTGTGGCGTTGGTCGGTATGAAGTGACCCATTTTGGAGAACTTATCGATGACTACGAGGATGGAATCGTGCCCCCGTGAGGTCGAAGGAAGTCCGGTGATGAAGTCGAGGCTAACGACCTGCCATGGCTGCTCCGGTACGGGTAGAGGCTGAAGTAACCCTGCTTTTTTCTGCTTGCTACTCTTCATCCGCTGGCATAGACCCTTGAGCAGAGGGTTCATCCCGTCGAGTTGGATGCCTGCTACATGTCCTGGGCGGCTCAACGCGTCTTCTTTGTTGTGTAGCCCGGGTTTGTAGATGATGTCGTAGTGGAAGTGAGTTTCCAGGAAGTCCACCCACCGCACCTGTCGTCGTGAGAGTGTTTGCTGTGACCTCAGGTATTTGAGGCTGCAGTGGTCAGTATAGACTGTAGTCTTGGCTCCTTCTAGATAGCACCTCCATGCTTTGAAGGCTACGACTATGGCTAAGGCTTCCTTGTCGTGAATGGGGTAGTTGAGTTCTGCTCCGTGTAGCTTCTTACTGAGGTAGGCGATGGGTTGTAAACCGCGTCCGTGATCCTGCATCATTCCTGCTCCGAATGCCTAGTCACTAGCGTCAGCTTCAACTACGTAGTCCTTCTCAGGGTCTGGTAGGATGAGTACCGGGGCTGTGGTCAGTGCGGTCTGTAGCTGCTCCATGGCTTGCTGATGAGGAGTATCCCATTTG